CCAAGTGTCTGGCTGGCATCACCTCTAATATTCTGCAAACAACATCTGCATGAGTGTGTCAGTTGTATAACTGGTAAAGTTAACGTAAGTGGCTACACTGATTTGCTGAACGGCACTGATTAAAGCTATTTTACCGGAGAGAGGCTCTGCAGCATGTGGGAAATACTGTACACCAGGCCGTGTTTGTGCAGTCCAGGAAAGCAGAGACAGGATCATCCGCGGCAATTCATCATTTGCAGTAATGACGGGGAGAAGGCTTCCTCCCTGCTCCCAAGTCCCTTCTTCCTCAAAGTAATTGATAATGTTGTGGGTCAGCAGTAGAGCCATTTTCTGCCATGTGGGAGACCCGGGGTTGATTCCCAGACACGCATATAACCACAGCCATCGAGGCACTGATCGTCCGTACTCGGTCTGGCCTTTGGGTTTTGTCTCGATGGTCTAAAGGAGACATGGAGGGTCTGGCCAGCCTTCACTCCTCCATACTCCTGCCTAGGCAGACACGCCGATGGTCCTGGTGACCTCTCATGCATACTCCACGATCCAAAAAGATTGACAGTTGCCTACTCCTATGCTGAAAGTATTGCTGCCCGTGACAAGTGTCAGAATATCGGTGCTTCAGAGGAGTTTCCCCAGACAAATAGCTGCCTTGCAGGTTATTCCACAAAAGAAAAGCCCAAGAATTAACCAGGGCAAGAGAGTGAGAGCAGCCTTGCAGAAGATTAGTGATGGTCTTGGGGAGTGGCAGAAGGAACCTCTAACCAGGAAACCCTGAGTTTTAATCAATTCTCTCCTGTTGTGTTGTTGCATGGCCTTTGGGAAGTTGCAGAGCCTCTGTGTTCAGGGCAGAGGAGGTCCCCTGGTACTACTGCACCCTTCAGTTCTTCCAGGCCCATCATGATGTGAGGTTGTGGAAAGAAAGAAAGGCAGTTGTTTGGAGACACAGCCCAGATTTAATTGGGGTGCATTGTGCATGCTGTCTAGGGAAGCTACTGCATGTGCTCAATGCCAGGGCAAGGTTTTCTTCCCCATGTAACACGGGGGGAAAAATCCACACCTGCTACTTGCACCCATCTCCCCCCCTGTATTCCTCTTCCGCCCTGCTGCAGCCTCTGCACCTCTGCCTCTTCCACACAGCCCCATCCCCACTCCCCAACCCACTTTCCCCGTGACCTGCCCACATCCCTCCTCCCCCTGCCCCTGCTTACACTTGCTCTGGCATCCCTGGGCTCCATCCCCTCTTCAGCCTGGGGCATGGAGCGTGACCCCAGCCTGGCCCTTGAACAGCAGTGTCAGCTCTGCGTTGCTGCTACAGGGCCAGGCTGTGGTCCTGCTTCATCCCTGGTCCTGCTTCATGCCCCAGGCTGCAGCAGGGCCAGAGCCTGCCAGTGCTGGATGAAAGGTAAGTGGTGCAGGAGGAGGGGGGTGGCAGGAGAAGAGGGGCTGAGGCTGCAGGGGGTTGGAGTGACAGAGGCAAGGGGGCACCGGCCCAAGGGGAGGAAGCAAGGAGGGGGAAGATGGGGGGAAAGTGCGGGGGCCCAAGGCTGCAGAGGACAGCCTCCTTACTGCCCCACAGTACATGCCCCCCATTGCCAGCCTCTCCACTGCCCTTGTTGCCCTCCCTCACCACCTGACCCCCACCGCCTGCTCCCCTACCACTGCTCTCCCCACTGCAGCGGTGGTGGGGGCAAATTTAAGAGGATCCTCCAATAAGTAAATTCGAGGCATGAAACAACGATAAAGTTACAAAATGTCCATGTCTAGAATCGAATTATTTATGGAATTATGGAATGATTTTATTTATTTTATACTAATTATTGTAATAATGATCCTAACTATTTTAAGGAAAAATTTTAACTGTGTTATCATTTTGCATGTCTAGAATCTAATTATTGGGGCGCCGTCTTGGACTCAGGGAAATGCAGAGTATTAGGTTTTACAACAGGGGTGAACAAAAGAGTTATCCTTTATCCCATCCTGATATAATTGGAGTCTACACTTGAACGTGCCTAGTTATTGGGGCTCAGTCTCGGACTCGGGGAAATGCAGAGTATTAGGCTTTACGAAAGGGGTGAACAAAAGAGTTATACTTTATCCCATCCTGATATAATTGGAGTTTATACTTGATTGTGCCTTAGGTTAGGAGAACGAGAGCCCAGTTTATCTGTTTGCATGGCTGCAGCCCCATTGATATCAACCAGTTTGTACTAATGGGCTTGTGACCAGTCCTCTACTGCATAAAACTGCAGACCCTATTGGCATTTCTCGGACAGACCCTCCATCATGCCAGAAAGTCACCAAAGCAGTAGACGTGTTTCAGAATTCCCACACAGTTGTCTTAATATCCATTTCTTTCCAAAGACCTGACGATTAGTGGCAGAAGGAAGTGCACACAGAAATGAAATCAAGAATGTCAGTGGGCTCAGGAAGCATCATTGTTTGCTGTCTGTATTAGCCCGAGGGTGCAGCAGCAGCAAAAAAAGCTTGGCTCTTATTTGATAGCTGAAGCTTTGACATTCAGGCAGATCCAAATCAAACAGATGTGTGTGTGTAAATAATTAAACCACACAGAAATCCTACATTGTAAAATAATGTTAAGTGTCAGGCTTGAACCTTGCTAGGCACTCAGAGGAACCCGTCTTCACTTCACATAGGCACGGTGTCACAAGGTAAGCTATGATTACCAAAACCGTGCAATAGCTCATGCAAGCATAGACTAGAGGAGACGGTTTAGTGGCGTAGGACTTGGGCCTTGATTCAGCAGTGCTATAAATTTAAATCCAAGTAGGTGAGCTCAGGTTATAGTACTGGTAATGCAGACACTTGAGTACTGCACTGTGTACTGTAGAACAGCCTTTGGATGAGATCCTTAAAAAAACCCAAAATCTTCTCTGCTACGAAGATAATGAAAATCATCTGGAATTGCTGTTGTGCCCTCAACCACAATATTGCTTTTGTGTCTTCTCACCACTGTGTGGTACTGTTTGTTATTGTAATGCAGTACAGAGTGGGTATTTGGAAAAGAATGGTATTGTCTCTTGGCTGGTTGTTGCTTACAGATATTATAAAACCCCTACTCCTGCTGATGGCCAGTGGAGATATTCTTGTATCTCCAATGGCAATTGCATGATGTATTAGTAAATGCAGAATCCAGGTTCTGTATGTCTCTGCTACTCTACGAGCATTTTGTTGTTTAATTTGGGGGTTTATGCTTTAATCATGGATTGGTGTACAATTTCAGATTTTGAATTCTTGTGGACTCTAGAAACTTGGCAGTGAGCATGCTTCTCACACTGCTTTGCCGAGAGAACATATTGTCCGTAAGGACCTGGCTTCCAAACTTAGTGCATGTCCTTACATACACAGGAAAGTCCACAGTGACCTAGTTAGAAATGCTGTGTCCGTGGGCAGATCTAGGATTTGGCAAAGGGGGTGCAAATGGTGTGGTGCATCATTGCATATAACACAACACACATTTTTCTCCAGTTAAAAAGAAACTAAGGGCTTCAGTAATAAGTTAGGGGGCCTAAAGCAAGAGCATGCAATTTAAGGCTGAAGCAAAAAAAAACTTTATTGGGATGCGCATTCATTTCATATATCATATTATATATATAATATGATATATGAAATTAATAAATATATATAAATTTATATATATATATATACACACACATATATTATATATAAAAAACACAAAAAACTAGGCAAAAATAATCAAAAGATATTGTTTCATTAGTCCTGTAGCCATTATAGTTAAATGTATGTCTCTTTTTCAGATTCATAAAACAAAATCTAACCTTCTTGAGCCCCTTGGCAGTACATCCAAGGCTTCATTGAATGTTATCTCCACACCTGGGCTAATGTTCACCTGAGTTAATGTTTCCACACCTCAGTGAAAGTTTTTTACCTAGAGTTAAAAAAGCAGCCTGCTGGGCTGTGAAATAGGAACTACATGATTAGGAGAAGCTAACAGACAGCAGAATTGCAGGAAAAGGATTGCTTTAGTAGTGGAACCATTAAAGATCATTACAAAAGAAAGAGATTCATTAACACTTGTGGAATAAAGGGTTTTAAAGGAATTGGATAGGTCAGTGGTGCTCAATCCTTTCATTCAGTGGGCCGGATGGACAGTGACCGGTTCCTCCTTGGGCTGGATATGGCTGGTGAACCCAATCTGGAGCCCAGGACAGGCGGAGCAGGGCCCTATCCAGCTTCACAGAGGGGTGTGGGGGGCAGCCTAGCCCCAATCTAGCCATGCAGAGGAAGGGGTGCTTGGCCTGGCCCCAACATGGCCCTGTGGAGGGGGTGAGGCCATGACCCAGTCCTGAACTGGTCGTGCATGGTCTGAACCCAACCTGGCTGGGTGGGAGGAACAAGGACATGGCCTGGCCCTGAACTAGCCATCTGAACCAGATTATAATGAGCCATGAAGTCAAGTGACTCCCTCACTTCTGCCTGAATGTAAACGCTGCCATCACTGCCAGGCAGACCAAGACTCAAAGGGGGTGTAAGTGCACCACTGCACCCCACTTGGATCTGTCTCTGGCTGTGTCCATGACTGCACATGCTTACACTGAGGTCTTGGGAGGTGCAAATGTGCATTAACATACCTAACTGTTTATGCTGTGTCTGGTTATTAGATGTATATAAAATCATAGGGCTAAAAGGGACCCTGAAGGATCATCGGGTCCAACCCCCTGCATGAGCAGAAAAGACATCTGGAGTCAGACGACCCCAGCCAGGTGGCTGTCCAGTCTTTTCTTGAAGACCTCTAGGGTAGATGATTGCATCACCTCCTGCAGGGAGCTTGTTCTATAGTCTGGACACCCTAGTTGTGAAGAAGACATGATGCACTGGAGAATGCAGGCATCTATCCCACTACCTCTCACATTCAAAGCGAGTGCTCTACCACCTGAGCTAATTCCCCTGCTTGGATGCTTGGGTAGGTTGGTTGGAATCATATGCTCCCCTCCCCAAATTAAAAGCTCTTACAATGCTTTCAGAAGATGACTGGGCTCAGGCTCTGATGGACCAGAAGTGAGAGGAAGATCCAATAATGAGGAGCAGCTACTCAGAACTACCTCCCATGTGGTTTCACCAAATGAATGTGGTGCACAGAAAGTATTTGTGGGAGATTGCTCTCCACTAACTAGGGATTGCAGTGGAACATAAAGAAGAAGTGGTTATTACCATCACATAGGAACACTACTCATAGGTAAGGATGCAGTTGTGCTAAGCACTGAACAACACAGAAAAGATATGATCCTTGACCCCCAAAACTGCAATTTAGGTATTTAAAAAGGGATCTTTAATGCATACAGAATGGAGAATGGGGGAGGGCAATGAATAATTGGCTGGCATGACAGGAAGTGATGTCAGTGTGCCAGCACCCTTGCTGGTGTTGATAGTTCTTCTATAGGCACTTCAAAAAAGGGAGTTCTGAGGAAGGTGGTTAAGGACAGTAGAGATCTACAAGGAGCTTCACCAAAGCCTAGTGGACACCCTGAACAAAAGTGTAAAGGTGCTTCTTAAAATTTATAAATAAGCAGAGGAAAATGGCATCTTGGATTTATCAGAGGCAGGAATCAACATCTTGATGGCATACGCAAGATCATAGCTATGGTAGGAATAGGTCAGGAAGGACTTTGGAAGAGAAGACAAGCAGCCTACAGTTGATGTGATAGAGAAGGGGAGTCAGTGGAAGAGTACAAAATGAGGAACAAAACTTATCAAACCAGTGAATGTGGTCCTTGTAGCCTCATTCTGAGCAAGTATAAATAGGGAACAGTTTGTTTGTCAAGGACAGACAGAAAGATTTTGCAATTAGTCAGATGTGATACGAATGAGAGCCTGGATAGCAGTTTTTAGGCGTGTGAAGGGAATGGAAAAGCCTGAGTATATACAGTGAAATCAAGGAAGATCTGCAAAGGTTAGCTACAGATTTAGAGTGAGATTTAAGGCAAAGATGATGTTCTACCTGCCGGTGTATCTGTTGAATGCTGTTTATAGCTCTATGTTTATATCGGAAGCTTTCTTAGAGCATGTGCTAGGTTGTTGCCATCCTTCATCTGAGAGGTGGCCACTTGCTTACAGGCATAAGGTTTTTTGGAGGCTAAACATTGCAACATAACTGGACTTGATTACCATCGAACCTTGATCGTGGAGTCCCAGGGCAAGGCCTATGTTGTGCCTCATGTAAGTCAGTGTCACATTACTACCCTGATGCTACCCATTGCCGAGGTGCATTTATCCGGGTCATTCCTTCTATATGCTGCGCTTGCCTTGGGACAGTGGGTGTTGCATGGGTACCGGCCAGGATGTCAGGGCACCAACTGCAGAGGAGCTGCTAAAAGAATAAGCTTCCAGGGGAATAAGGAATTGGCAAACAGGAACCCACAAAACACCCCTGGACTAATCTGAGAGAAGACCTTTCACTAACCCACTTGCCTTCCCATTTCATCTCTTAGGAGAAATGCTGCTACCTCTGGTAGACTATGGACCAGTCTCTGGAAGGAAATGACAATTACTGCCATGTTTAATATTAGGGAGGGTAAAAAGGTGCAAGAGAATCTAATCCTTCTGAGCACCCTGGGTGACACCTGGATCTTACTATTGATATCAAAGGAAGTGTAGATTCCCTATCTCTTGAAGTCTTTAGATCAAGACTGGATGTATTTTTGGGAGATATGCTGTGGTCGAATACAACGGATTGGGCTCAATGCAATAGTAATGGACCAAAATTCTTCAATCTGTGTTATTTCATAGATTTCATAGATTCATAGACATCAGGGCTGGAAGGGACCTCGGAAGATCATCGAGTCCAGCCCCCCGCCCAAAGGGCAGGAAGTCAGCTGGGGTCATAGGATCCCAGCAAGATAAACATCCAGTTTCATCTTGAAGGTGTTCAATGAAGGCGCTTGAACCACCTCCGGTGGCAGGCTGTTCCAGACCTTGGGGGCTCGGACAGTAAAGAAGTTCTTCCTTATGTCCAGCCTGAAACGATCTTGAAGTAGTTTGTGACCATTCGACCTCGTCATCCCTTGGGGCGCTCTGGTGAACAAACGTTCCCCCAGATGCTGGTGGTCACCCCTGATAAACTTGTAGGTGGCCATCAGATCACCCCTGAGCCTGCGCTTTTTCAGGCTAAAGAGCCCCAGGGCTCTCAGCCTGTCGTCGTAGGGTCTGCTTCCCTGACCTCTGATCATGTGCGTGGCTCTTCTCTGGACTCTCTCAAGCTTCTCCACATCCTTTTTGAATTGTGGAGCCCAAAACTGGACACAGTACTCCAGCTGCGGCCTCACTAAGGCAGAGTACAGGGGGAGAATGACGTCCCGGGATTTGCTTGAGAAGCATCTATGGATGCAAGCCAGCGTTTTGGTCGCTTTACTAGCCGCCGCATCGCATTGCAGGCTCATGTTCATCTTGTGGTCAGTGATGACCCCCAAGTCTCTTTCTTCCATAGTGCTAGCCAACATAGCACTGCCGAGCCTATAAGGATGCTGCGGGTTTTTTTTCCCAAGGTGGAGAACCTTGCATTTATCGGCGTTGAACACCATCAGATTCTCGTCCGCCCACTTGCTGAGCCTGTCCAGGTCAGCCTGGATAACCTGCCTGTCTTCTGGTGTGGATGCTTTGCCCCAAAGTTTGGTGTCATCGGCGAACTTGGCCAGTTCTGATCGCTTCTGACTCCAGTGTCCACATCATTAATGAAGATGTTGAACAGTATGGGTCCAAGGACAGAGCCTTGGGGGACCCCACTGGTCACAGGACACCACGATGAGTGACTTCCATCGATTACTACCCTCTGGGTCCGACCCCGGAGCCAATTTTCCAGCCAGTGGATCGTGGAGGACCCAAGGCGACAATTGGCCAGTTTCTCCAAGAGGCGATCATGGGACACCAGATCGAAGGCTTTTTTGAAGTCAAGATATATGACATCAATCTCTTCTCCCTTGTCCAGGTGATAGGTCACCTGGTCGTAGAAGGAAATGAGATTGGTCAAGCAAGACCTACCCGCAACAAACCCGTGCTGGCTATCCCTTAAGATGTTGGTGTCGGCCAGTCCATTAAGGATGGCCTCTTTAATGAACTTTTCTAAGATCTTCCCCGGGATAGAAGTCAGGCTGATGGGCCTATAGTTAGCCGGATCCACTTTCCTCCCTTTCTTGAAGATAGGCACCACATTGGCCTTCTTCCAGTCTTCGGGCACTATACCAGAGTGCCAAGAGTTTTCAAAGATCTGTGCTACAGAAGATCCGTTATACAGGAGAGCAAACTAATTGACCTCATGGGCCTTCTTGGTCTTAAAAATCTGAGTCTAAGTGGGTGTGTCTACATGAGATGTTTTACTGTGCACTAGCATATTTACTGGTTAGTAAACATGTGCGTCTACACATGCACACACTTACTGCACAGTAAAGCTTGCTAATCACAAGTAAATGTGCTACTTGCATTTGCTTGTAAGTACTAACTGCGCAGTAATGATCATGTAGATCCCTGATGGAGCAAATGTGCTCCTGGTCAGCCAGCCACCAGGGAGTGGAAAATTGCTCCCTGTCCCTGGGAGATGCCTGCTGCACCAGAGCCTGGGAGGAGAGGGGGAGCAGGAGTATGTCCCCTTGCCCCAGCAGCAGGGAGCTCCAAGACTCCTAATCCAAGATTGCAATTGGGGGGTGGGGGCTGGGAGATCCTTATTTCCCAGCCCCTACTTCATCATTGCAGTTGGGGACCAGGGGACTGGGAGATCCTTATCTCCCCACACTGCCCATGTAACCACAGAGCTACTGCTGGCCCAGCACTGGCCATACAACCATGGAGCTGCCACTGGGAGATAAGGGTCTCCCGGTGCTGGCCCTGTGATCGCGGAGCTGGGGAGCCTGTTCTCCACCCAGTTCTGTGAGTGCATTGCTGGTTGGGAAACAGGCTGGGCAGCGTGTTTCCCACTCATCTCTGTGGGTACGGAGCTGGCAGAGGGAGATAAGGATCTTCCAGCACTGGTCACACGACTGTGGAGCTGGGAAGAAGGTAAGGATGTCCCAGCGCTGGCTCAATGGTCGTAGAGCTGGTGCTAGGAGCTCCCTGGTGGTGGGGGCCAGGAAGCCTGTTCCCCACCTAGCTTTGCACTCATGGATCTGAGAGGGGAACAGGCTCCCTGGCCTCCACCCTCTGATCACAGAGTGGAGGCTGGGAACTGCCCCGGTCAGGGGCAGGTCCCAGCCCCATGCCCCGGTTGGGTGATTGAGGCATGGGGCTTGGAAAGACCTGCAGGAGTGGGATAGGTCCCAGCCCCCACTGCAATCTGCTGGTGATACAAGTAGCAGCGAGCTAGCTGCTAGTTGCCCCACCAGCAGATCAGGGCAGGGGGCTGGGATCTGCCTCTCTCCTGCAGCTCTTTCCAAGTCCCCTGCCCCTAATTGGGGAGCCAAGGCTAGGGGCTCCCTGCTGCCAGGGCAGGGGGACACTGTCCCCAGCAACAGGCAGCTGGCAGAGAACACCAGCAGCAGACAGCAGACCGGAGCAGGGTGCAATGCTCCAGCCCCAGCTAGGAGACAGCTGTCTCCTGGCCCTGGCAGCCCCTGGGCTAGCACCAAGGGGGAGCCTAGAGTCACCCCCCTGGTGGCAGCAGGGGCCCATTTCAGGTCCCCAAAAAGCAAGAGCAATTTGCTGCCATTTTGCAGCAAATCTGCTCCTGCCTCCCTGCACGTGCAGATGCCTGCCTAGGAGCATTTACTTGTGTGTAATTTACTCATGAGAAAACTGCTCCCAGATCTCATGCACATGTAGACACACCCAGTATCACCATTTCTAGTCTCCTCTGTGTCTCATAGATCATTCTCTCTTCAATGGCAATGGCTCTAGTGGCCAGAACAGGAGAGTGAGTGCTTTTTCTGAGTTCTACAATGCCTTTTCATGGAAAGTAGGCAAGGCCAAGGGACATTGTGCCTTGCCCAGTCCAGGGTTATTTCTAAGGATGAGAACTACATTTCCAGACTCCCAAACCTTTTACAACTAACTAATAGGATTTTTTCCCTGCTTTATTTTATAATCAATGACTTA